ATGGTAAGGATATAACAAAAATCCACTAAAATTCTCCACACAATCTGATGGCAAACTGTCTAGCGATCTTCCTCGTACTCGTTTCAGGATGTTCTTCGACTTCGTGCAGCACTGCTTCCTCAATTTCAGGTGTTCTCACACTTAGAGGTCCACCTTCAGATGTTCCTTTTCGGACAGGATCAGTTTCAACAAGACGTCGATGAATATTAGAAAAGGTTCGACTATCTGGCAAAGTATGACCGGGATATCTCTGGTGATAAATCCGTCTGGCTTGCTAACCATTACCGTCGGCAAGGCCATATATGTAATGCATTACCGCCAATTCTGCATTTGAATAATTAACCATTATTAACAAGATTGTAAAAAATAAATAATGATAAAGATGTCACAGCGAACAGATTCGAATAACAGAGACTTGTCAGATGTCAAAAGCCAGTGACATATTCCAAAACAACTAGATATTTATTGCTAAATTGCATTCTTCAATTATTACATTAATTGTCTAGGACAATAGAACGGTTTTTATTTTTTTACTCAAAAATGGCGCATCGAAGGGAAATAATTCAAGAGAGATCGTTTGTCTTAAATTGAACGGAATTCAATTCAAAAACGCATTTTTTTCTTAAAAGATATCGAAGTCAATACCCGTACCCACGCCTCTGTTAAAGCTAAAAAATATGTTTGCTTTTAAAAATATGCAACTTTATCTTAGTAATGTAAACACTCGTTTAGCAAGATAAAGAAACCATTATTCAGAATTTCATAGAGTATCTTAGTAAATCTGGAGAAAACATTGTACCTACTTAAAATGGCAATTTATAACTGACAACAATGAGTAGTTTGATTGTCGGCAACAAACGGAACCACTTTGTTCAACAGCATTACTTAAACCAAAATCATTTTGTTTATCTAATAGTTCTTTGGAGTTGAATTGTCTGACTGGCAATTCTTTGAAAAAAAAATCTTATGAACAGTTGAAAACTATAAAATAGATTTGCTATACTGTAGCTTTCTAAAACTGTAATGACTCATACGCGTGATCAGAGAATGACCGTCGCCGGGCGACGGCACGGCTGTCGAGAGGCGTCAGGCTAGAACAGGGTGGTATTCTAAACTTCTCTCACTCTAGATAATACACATTTTATTCGGGTTACAATATGTCCCACAATTATCTTGACAAAATTTGAGATATTAGAATACAAGCACCGTAAACCGGGGTAACTTTGTGACTTGGGCATTACTTTGGGACACCTGCTATTTTTTCCACACTTTACCTTACAAAAATATTTAAGCCGCAAATATCACAACTTTGGTATTCAATCTTGTTTATAAGATAATAATAGGAAAAAATAGTTTGGCAACAGTAGATTTGTTCCGGCAACAGAAGTGAATTTTTAGCTGCAACAAGTCGTTACACGCATTTTTCAATTATCTGTCATTGGGCAGCCAAAACGACCATAGCCACTTTATTTTTGATAAGTACATCTTATGTCGATATATTTGGGATATGTTTTGACAAAATAGCGAAACAAATAATCGACACCAAAAAATATTATGTTTGTTTACATAAAAAATGGTGGAGGTAACTTTGGTACATGTCCCAAAGTTAGACTGCAGACGTTTGCTGTGGAATCTAATTTAAAAAACATAGTGTACCAAAATTACACTGACTGTAATTTTGTATAGCTTTTGTTTATCTCTTTCAGAACTAATAATCCCTCAATCAATATCAACATGCTAAGGGTAAGGAACGCGCTTGAATATTACCACAATTAAACTGAAAGGAAGAAGAAAACTGATTCCGGTCCTGAGATAAGATGACGACTCATCGCTTCCACGCTACAAGGCTCGATACATTGGCGTAGACTAGTACAGTATATTCAGATAAGAGATAGACCGGACATAAACAATACCACGTGATCATCGAACGCTGTAACATTCGGCAGGGACGTATTAAGAGTCACAAAGTACATATTTTAGATAGTAGATGCTGCTTTGCGTAACTTTGTAGTAAATTAGCACAATTCGATGTGTATACGATTGGTGATGGATATAGGATCATGTGGGGGTGGGGTAAGAAATATATAATGATGTAAATATACATAAGGGTTTCAAAATTTTCGCTTCGATTTCCAGCTTCGGATGCCGCCTGATGTTTGGTGAAATACAGTAACGCATGGAAAGTTGATCGTTTGAAATTTGGCAACGTTGTATCTCCATTTACCTCCTGCAGTACTTTATCTATAGTAGGTATTTCATTCCTAAAGAAGAATTCATGCACTTTCCTCCTAATTGCATGCTTATCAGCTTCATCCAATGATTTAACAATACTTTTGCGATGTTTACTGGTCATTGGCTCAGAAAAGGTGTGATTTTTTTTGTATTGTCTTAACACATTAAACACTGATGCGCGACACACCCCAACTTTGTGAGAAACCTTCACAACAATTTCTTTGATGGTTGATGCCTCGTTCTCCTCGCGCTCGATCTTATACATATATATATTCAAAATAACCTCTTTCATTTCTGCACTCAGGTGTCTTTTTTAGAGCGTTTCCTAGGTGGACTACAGGAGTTTACAACTTCATCGGCAGTATCTGTACTACTGGGCATTTTGCGCAAGCAGTTGATAACAATAACAATCAATAACAAGGTATAACAATAACAACGACAAACTCAACAACTTAATAAGATAACAAACGAAAACGTCCAAAGAAATATCAAATTGCAATGATGCACACGACATACGTAACACGTCTGAACCTGAATGTGACTCTGCCTTGATACGACTGCTCTGCCGCTCAGCATAGGCATTTAATTGCGAATTGACCAATGAGGGCTCCTGTTTTACGTCGAGACGGCGGCGTTAGCGTGAAAATCACCCGAACCTTTTGTTTACATCCGGTCTATCTCTTCGTCGCTGTTCTGACAAATGGACGTAAGCGCCAATAACATAATTTTACAGTAGAGCGATTTTAGGAAAATATGATTGTATCTTAGATGAGTTGATGATTCTGTAACTAGCAACGCTATTTTTTTACAATTTTGTATCAAAGTGAATCATCAGGGACACTTTCAATCTGTCATAACGTGATTGCAAAGCTCGCACGATATTGTCCTACAAAATGGCCACTTTGGACATACGCCCGTTCGTCAGAGTTACTTTACAGAGGTATGTCACTTACGCCCTTATTCATTAGTAATTTTAAACATACACAACGGTTCCTATCATTAACGACATTTTTATTTAAACAAAGAAAACTTCAAAATATAGAAATTAAACAGAGGATGTATGCAAATTATAAAAAACTGAGGTGTTTAATGCTGCGGGAGGTTCTTGAAGTATTGTTGAAACGTTAGATCTCGCACCCTCTCGGGTGTAGGTCCAGTACATAGCTCAACAAGGTTTTCGTATTTCAGGCTGTCTAATTTAATTGGACCATTATTAAGTCTACGTACCGGCTGTTTCAGGACTTCAAGAGTGTTTCTTTTCAGAGATAATGTGTTATACTGATCAGCAAGATGGCTGGCTTTTAGAAACAGTTGTGGAACATCTTTCTTTACCATTACTTCCTTGATTGCGGTGAAATTAATATTTTCCCCCGTGTCAAATTTTCTCAGTTGTCGAATGCGGAGTTGTTCAGCCACAAACTTGTAATCCAGAAGGTCAGCATTATCCATAGGGATGACAATGTAAGGAGAATTCCGTCTTGCCAATTTAAGAATAGGAGGAAGCTGAGCAGGAATAAAGACATCTCCTGCTAAGGCTAAAGCTGTCGAAATAGAACTGTGGGCAGAGTCGCCCTCGCTTTGGCCGTGATTTGTTTCGAAGAAAGATAATGATATTTTTTTAATGTTTTTGGTATTGGTTATGGTGTGCAGCAACATGGCTAAAACAATCGTGTTCTTATTTTGGCCACCACAACCATCTGCAAATAGTCTTACTTCTTTTATTCCCTGGGTATCCAGCTGAATAAGGTAGTTTGCCACGCATGTTGATATTTCGTTGGACCCTCGTTTAATATTAATTTCGTTCCAAAGATAACACAAGCAGTTTTTATTTCCTAGGTTGTAAATCGTAAAGTTGAACACTGATAGACGACGGCTATAAAAAATTCCACTTTCATTGCTTCTTGGAAACGAAATTACCTGTTGCAGGTCGAATACAGCACTAGCTATTACTTCAGGGTTTTCTTGTGATGATTCTTTAGCATCTTTTTTCTTCTTTCGCACAGAGTCCTTCTCTGCAATGTGTGCAGCAAAAGAATCTTCGAGTTTGGCCTTCGTTTCCGTGCTGCCTTCTTTATAGGACGAACAAAGGCTACACTGGTCTTTCTTTGGGTGATGGAAAGAAAGATTCAATGACTTGAATACCCTTCGATAGGTGTGATAACTACACTGTGGCTGACGTCCCTCTTGCACGTAAAAATAATACATTTTCTTAATAGTCAGATCTTGGTGCAAATACTCCCTGGTGGTGGACTGTCTGCAAAAGTGTGATTCCATCCGAGGAAATAGTTGAATATGGGCTAATACAGCAGACCGAGTAGCGCTATCTTTTTCACGCAAACTGACGTGTCGACCACCACGTGCATCAGGACGTACTATCCCTTCATCATTTAATTTATTTAGCGCCGTCCGCATGGTTTTTTCAGAAATTCCGAGCGTGTTTAAAAACATAGTTTTACAAACAGTTGTTGATGTATTTGCATTCGCAAGACGATAAGTAAATGTTCTTGTTCTACGTGAAACAATGTTGCTTGTTCGCTTTCTTTTAATATTGTGAGCTGTAACATGACGCGCAACGAACTCCCTCTGTAACTGAAGGCTTTTTGTTTCATAGAAAGCAGCATAAATCTTTTGCCTATGTTCTTCCGTGATTAAGCTGCACTCTTGTTTACACTTCTTTGTGTCACATCGCGGGTTTATTAATTTCGGTGGCATAAGTTTTTTTGAAGTTGAACTCACGTAAGCTTTCCCCTCACTTTTTTGCGCATGTGCTATTGCCTTTTTCCTTTTTTTGTCTTAGCAAACGGCACCTCTCTTTGCACACCATCTACGGCATACCTAGCAGCTAAGCGATCGCGCTCGATCTCTGCCTTATCCCTTCCGTTTTCAGAATCAGATGAGTAAATATCATCGTGATATTTGCAGTCGCTATTGTTATTGAAATGATCCCAGCACAACAATGCAGGACAGCGGTGACAAGCAGCAAATATTTCCTGTTTGCAATTTTTAAAATTACAGGTTTGGATATAAGTGGGGTCGTGATTATTGCTGTCAGAAGGATCAACAGCTTCAGGTTGATCTGGAGTTTGTTCTCTAGGACCTGGTGGAACCTCGTGTTGTAAATCAATATTTTTTATTGGACACACTGATTTTGGTGAAATGGAAGGCTCCTTATTTTCTTCGATAGCCTTCTTTAAAACACTGAGTGGAATATTGTCATCGTCTGAATCGTTGCTTTCCAGCTGATGTATTTTTTGCATCTTTTCTGATGGATTGGAAATAACACATTCTTATGCTTCCGCTTCAATTCCTTCGAAGTTGTCATTACTACTCCGTAATAATATTTCTTGTCGGGGGGCCAATACATTTGCACCCCAACACCAGAGCGTAAAGTCTGAGTTTTTTGTACAGTGTTGAGGTTTTTTGAATACACGACGTTAGTTGTACCGTCGTCCCACTTGACTAACACATCCATGCTGCTTTGGTTAAGTTACTGCAATAAAAACAAACAGTTGTAATAACCATAGCAAAAGTTAACCCTAACCAACACAAAATCTATGGTTAGTTTGAAATAGTTTGCCTCATTTCGCGGACGTCATCTCAATAATTGACAGGCAGCGAATGTTTTCTCGCCTCGACTTCGTTCATAACCTCACATTTCAACTATAAATGTCAGAAGCACCAAACCACGACGCATGTTTATCTCAAATAATATATTACTTTAAGTCAACAAAAATGTGCTTACCTTAAGTTTAGACTTTCAACTTTCACTTAAACATACACCTCACCATCTGTTATGATAACTGGGGATACCTAAACGTTCTAGAAAACCCGTAAACATGCAGGAGATGGCGCAACAGTATCGGTTATCACCATAGCCACCTAGAACTACGTTAGATATAGGTGGCTATGGTTATCACAGTTACATACTACGGGCGAAAGCGACACTAAAGCGCAATAGATGATGTGACGAACAGGCGTATGTCCATTTATGGATTTACGCCTCTTAGCCAGATTCCCTATCTTCCATTGATGTCGCTTCCGTCCTTACTGACTATGATGTATACTCCGTGGTATGCGCGATGGAGATACGTCCATTTGTCAGAACATAGGTATACCCCTCGACAGTTTCTCAGTGGTTTATCTCCTATTTAGAGATTGTGTCGCTTACGCCCATTTGTCAGATCAGCGACGTCTTATCTGAATATACTGTAGTGCTTGGAACTTGTTTCGTTGAGACTCTACTCGTAGTTACCGCGTGATATTGTTTTTGTTAGAAGACTTGTTGTTTCATTATTTCTGTTGTTATTGTTCAGGGTATTCTTAGATTTTCCTAACCATGGAGGGTGAGACTGGGAGTGGAAGTACTGGAAGCCAGGAAACAAGTAGAAAGCTTTGTAAGTAATTAAACATCACAAACCTACGAACATTGACGAGATCGACCGTCATTGTGATGTCACTTTGCTGCGTTTACCGTCGTACCATTGTTAACTGAAGCCAATAGAGCTCATCTGGGCTCAAGTGCCACTACTATGGCTTCGATGAAGTTGCCTGCAACTTTATTAGGTCATATTTAAGGGAACGTAGGCAAAAAGTAAATATCAATAATCAAATTTCGACACCAAGGTACATTCAGTCAGGTGTTCCACAAGGCTCAGTACTGGGACCATTGATGTTTTTACTTTACACTGCAGACTTACATGATAACTTCAAGAATACACATGCTCAATTTTTTGCTGATGATACGCAGATAAAGTGTGATTTTAATGCCGACAATGTCCAGGAGTCCATGATGCTAGTAAATGCGGATCTGGATAGTGTTAATAGGTACTGCAGCTCTCACAACTTGAGACTAAATCCCTCAAAATGTTCTGCTATATTATTTGGCAATAAAAGATTATGTGAAAACCTTAAACCATTAATTCACATCAAAGTTAATGGGGAGGAAATTATTTTTTCTGAAATAGTAAAAAATTTGGGCATTCACTTTGACTCGGACTTACGTTTTAACTCCCATCTGAATAATGTCTTGAAAAAATGTTATCTATCCCTCAGGCTTCTATTTGCAAACAAACATATTCTGCATAGAAACATCAAAATTAAATTGTGTCAAAGTTTAGTTATTTCTAAAATGTTATATGGCTTATCCATATATTACCCATGTTTGACGTCTATTAACGCAAAACGTTTGCAGATAATGCAGAATACCTGTGTACGGTTTATCGAGGGCCTAAGAAAGTTCGATCATGTATCACACTTGTATCGTAATCTTGCATGGCTAAGCGTTCAAAACCTTTTCAAATACTCCATTATCAGCTTTACTCACAGGATCATACTAACATCATCCCCTCAATACCTCAGCTGTAAACTTGTTCCAAGGGCGTCTGTGCATGATCTTCAGGTTCGTAACCGTGACACCTTAACTATGCCAATACACCGCACATCACTTTTTAGACGAACTTTCACATACAATGCAATTTTATATTACAATAGCTTAAGCCAGGATCTGAAGACTATCCAGTCCTCCCGGAGTTTTAAAACTCAGTTAAAAAGATATTTACAAGAATTGCAAAACAACCGCTAGCTTAAGAAGTTCTTTCATTTTCATACTTTTTGTATTTTTCATTAATTATTTTTCCGTTTCTTCATAACCTATTATCTCTTCTTCTTTTTATAGCTAAAGTGGCACAAATAGTCCTATTATAATGTAACCTATTATCTCTTCTTCTTTTTATAGCTAAATTGGCATAAATAGTCCTATTATACTGTGACTTAATGTTTGTAGTTTCACATTTTTTTTTTTTTTGTTTTTGTATAACTTGTTTTTTTTTTCACTTTTGTACGGGGTTAGATGGTGGAATAGCAGGTGTTAAATCTCGCCCCATGTAATGTACCATGTTTTTGGTCAATAAAGACGATTATTATTATTATTATTATTATATTGCGCGCCATAACACAACTTTTAAGGTCCTTGGACGTACCAAGTACATAACATTATATTTATTAGGAGTTGCGTGCTGCCATGAAAGATTCGTATCACACCAACATACATCCGCACACTACGCTAATTTTTTGGTATATTAAAGTAGCACAGAAGGTTAAGAGAACCAATTAACTGAGGCGTGAGAAAGGTTAGTTTGAAGATAAGACGCTCATGCATACATGGTTGCATGTGCCTGGTATATTATTCGTTTAACCTTTTTTGCCCATTGCATATTAGCGATGAATTTTACTGAATAATCCCCATTTTAATGGCTTTAATGTCATACATACCTATCTTGAAAATTTATAATAAATCTTCGTCGAACGTTTTTATAAGTTCATGTGAAGTCACGTTAGTTCATATAGTCCCATTAAAGAAGTAAAAAGGTAACAGAGTGCAGTCTGAGGTTTCAGTGGAAGAAGCGTACCAAGAAAACTTGTTATAAGTACCTTGGAGTGACCTTTGACAAGACGATGACGACGACCTGGTAGAAACACACCAAAGCGTTGACATCAAAATTCCCAATTAATATTGTTATTAATATAGTACTTGATTGAATTATTTGAAAAATTCATAACGTGTTGACATTTGAATTGGTGGTAGTTAATAGTACTAAGAATACTTGACGGTCTTTCGTTGTAACCGCTTAAATGTGAACACGTTTTTTGCATATTCAATTTAGGGGTACCGTGAGGCTAGGCTAGGGGGATACAAGGGAAAGCGGGGCGTCCCACGGACTCTAGCGGAAAACATGTGTGCATGTGGATTCTGGCCCAACCTTAGAGATCTGCCGGGTGGTACCTCGACTTTCGACGGGCTGAGATCATCTATCACATACGAACAATCATCCACGCTGCCTGAATATTCAATAAAGTATTTTCAGAAGTTTGTCGAGAAGATGAAGACTGAAGATATTTTCTATAGGAACAGTCTTTTACAGTACCTAGGAAATAGAAATAGGAGGTAAGCGAGAGTGAATCCAAAAATGTCTAGAATGAATGCGGGGCTTTTTCGTATGTACATTGCGAGAAACTGAGTTTCGGGTTCTGCGCTTCTGGCATTCCTCTCCTATCTAAATCTCTCTAATAGATACTGTCATCATGAACGTAAGCAACTCCAGTTTTGACAGTTAGATGTGTTGTAAGCAGAAATCTTGCTTATAGTCGAATCATATTCGCAAATTTCCTCGAAATAATTGTAAAGTCTGGTTTTATTGGTGCAGGTTGTTCAAGGGGGGTATTTAAAACATGGACACATAAAATGTGTATACCATTTTTTGTGGGAAAACTTTTTATTTGACAACAAAGAATAAGAAAACGTGTTTTTTGGGATTCAATCGAAGGTGTTGAGAGGAACGAAAACACTTTTCATATAAGATTTTTAAGTATTTATGAGACCTACAAAATGAGACCACACGTAAAAAGATCCGACTAATAGCAAAAATGTTATGGCATAATGCAAGTCTTGGCACTTGTTGGTAATGCGACGATAACTTCACGCAACTGCTTGAAATTCTTCGAATCCGTAGGATTCATACTTCCAAAAAAATAACAACAACAAAATTGGATTATATTGGTCAACTAGTTTTTTGAGAATTTCTAATTGTTTATCCCAAAACACCTGTTTTCCGGCCATTACTACTAGTTTATGGAGCAATATACAGGGCTCGTTCAAAGAGCATTTAATTGCCAAATACACGTGTTTACCTTGCCGATATGAATCACAAACCATTCCGAAAGATAAATCTTATTTTTATGCGAAAAACAAAGGTTACGTTTTTTTCTTCTAAACAAATTCAAATAAATCGTATATTTGAGTAATTGAACAAATCGTCACCTTTCTCACGAAGTGTTCTAACTGACAAAATAGCAAAAATTGAGATAACCCGCATATAGGTGTATTATTCCATGCTGGTTAATCTGACGAAGAAGCATAACTATATATCTATTAGTGTGGGCAACACACCGTTAGCCCCTGGGTGTCTTATCTGCAAAGGTAAATTTATGATTCCCACGAAGAGACCTAAATGAAGATAAGTCCCTTAGTGTCCAATAATCCTTGTTAGTATACGCTCCTTGGTGGTGGAATCATGGCCAAAGTGAGGGAGAATCTGCTCACAGTGCATTCATACTGCGATAAGGGGAGTTGGAGATCTTTTCGAACCCTCATAACTCTATCCGGTTTTTTGATTCGCCAGAAAACGTCAACCTTATTTAGCAATTCCCAATGAATTTTTTGACTTGAAGAAACTTTCAAAAGATTTAAGAATATTGTCCA